CACTATTTCTTAAAGGATAAATGACACATTTTTTTTGGTTCATTTGTTGCAGCAAAGGTTCCCACAGTAACTCTACAGCTACTGTACTTTATCTGGAACAGAATTTCTGAACCTTTAAGAAACCCCCCACCCAAATAAATGACAGGTGGGTAGGTGTTATCCCTTCCCTCACTGCAATGCTGTGTTGGAGGAAGTTATACCTGTGGAATAGCTATTAGGTCCCAGAGCCCTTAAAGGTCACAATACTGTACATGGTCCAAGATAGAATACAGAAAAGCTGTTTATGATCCAAAAGAAATCCAGAACATACACCTGGCTGTCATTGCCCCCACACCCATGGAGTCTGCATTTTGCTATACAGTGCAATGGAATGCAGTTTAAGGATTTCCTGTCATTCTGGCACGATTCATGCTAAGCCCACACTAAATCCTGTTGGGCAAATGCAAAAGCCATATTACAAATCATTTCCACTGCTTTGCCAACTAGCAACAATCTGTTTCATAATTTTAAATTAGGAGGTAATTAAAAGATGTTCTTTAAAAATAAAAAAGAGGTAGTATATTTTCATCATCCAGAGTATCCTTATAGAGGCATCATATGTGACAAACACCACATGAAATTCTACAACCTCCACTCATGCGAGAAAAAGGTACAAAAATGTAAATTCATAAACAGGGAAGAAAATGACATATAGATATGCTACTATTAGGACTATGTCATCAAAATAATGAATATATTGGGTGCAATGCTGGCAAGAGCACAAGATCAGGTTCTACTGATTTCAAAGTGAGAGATGGACAAAACAGTCTTATGCATGTTTAACGAAAAGTTGAGTCCTGTTGTCTTCAGTGATACTGGCTCTCTGTGGTGCACGTATGGCATAAAAGTTGGTCTCCCACCAAAACTCACAGGATCTAAAAATATAAACCACTATGGTGGGATTTGGCTCTTTGGCTCAGAATGTCACATCCCAAAATAGAAGAGCTGTGTTTGGCTATAGGCAACAGAAAACACACCCCACAGAAGCAGGTACACATGCTTTCTTATATTGATTGCAATAATATGAGAACATTTACTTCACTACAGCAACAAGAATGCACATATTGCAGGGATAGTTCACTAAACCGATTAGTAAGAATGTATACTGAAATGCAAAAGCTGGAAATACTTGAAAGAAAATGTGAAGAAACAACATTACAGGCCACATGTACGGGTCACTTGGGATACAGTCCTGGCAGCTGAAACCCAATGCCGCCTTTTGCACTATGGCAGCAGCAGGTAGGGACCCATAGGTAGCTTCACAGAGTTTCTTAGCAGCTGAGGAGAAGCTCCTAAGGAACCCTGTGAAGGTAGGGCTTGGAAGGCATGAAAGACACAGTGAAGATGTTGTCAAAAGCTGGAACTGTCTCTACAATATGTGGCACTCCCACCATTCACTCTTGGTGATTAACAAGCACTTCAGCCCAATATCTAGCAGACTGCTTTTTGCCATCCTGTGCTCTAGGACTACTTCTGAAATTACCTTAGTGCATGCATAGCAAATATCTGGATTGCGGGTTGAATACAACCCATGTAAATTCTCCATCAGAACCTCCAGCTTCCTCCCTAGGGTCAACTAACTCTCCTCAGGCAATTTTTAAAATCTTTCTCAGTTGATTAGATATTTTTCCCTCTGAAAAAGTCTCAGGTGTTGCTGCCTTGTATGGAATGGAAGCAACAATCAATATAGTCTGGATATGCAAGAAGAGCCCATAACCTGCTTGTTGCCATGGTTGTGTTCTCCCAGTTGTTGAAAAAAATTGTTTTTTGGAAGTGGCCACTTTTTGTGTCCCTCCCATGTGAACTGGAAGTTTTTGACCTTCCTGCAACAGCAGACCTGTAACATAAGAGAGTTTCCTGTATGACTGTTGGCCTGCAACACTGTGTTAGTGAAACTGGGTGTCAAGGATTTGAGGATTATGTCTCTGCCAGGAATGGGGTGTGTGTGTCAGAGAAATGATGCCACTTTGAGCTAATAGTAATAAAGAGATTGTTTAAAAACAAATGTAATGAGGATATGATTGTGTTCTGACCAGCTACAATAATAGAAGACCAAGCTGGGAATGGATAAAATGAATTGGCTTCATATTTTGGACATTTAGTAGATCAGAGTATGTTTCATGACTTATCTTTACACAGGGCAACGTTTTTATTATTTAGTCAAATTTCACGGATGCATACACACACTCTTGATTTCTTAGAATATAGACTTCATAGAACCTTTATCCATGTAACATTTAGAGATGGGGTGTGTGAATTTAATTCCCATTTCAAGGGAAACTGGCCTAATTCATGTGGATCAGACAAAGTTACTGTTTGGACTACTCTAAATTTTGCAATGAAATACAAGGCTCAAACAATTCATAGGAAAAAGGTGTATATTAGGGAACCTGCAAACAAAATGCACATTTTAATGGAAATTGTGCACAAAATACAAATTGCATACAAAACTGTAAACAAAAATACATACTTTATAGGGGAAGTGTGTATGAGGTAAAAAAAAAGTTAATTACAGAAAATGGGATGAAACAGATGAACAATTAAATGCATGAGAAACCAATGTGGAAAAGAAAGTAAATAGAGTGATCCTTCCTCTCCCCCATGATTTTATGGCTCATTTGCAAATATGATGCAAAATTATTCCAATAACCTCTGCAAGGTGCAGATTTATAATGCTAGCTATCCCATTTTGTTGCCCCTTCTGATTCAAACAGTGCCCCACCATTGCCTAGACAACCAGGCACGTCACTTAACAACACAGCTGTGGTTGTGAACAAAATCAACGTTACCTTTTCTATCAATGTGTGGAATACTTACCCCCTTTCAATTTTGCCCTGAAATTCATTTTATTCACTGGTCTTTTATTGCTATTCTATTATTTATAATTTATTCATCACAAACAGAGTAGATCCACTGAATCAGTAGGGAAGTTGGTTAGTCAACTTCTTTGTAAGTTCCATTGATTCACTTGGCCTACTCTAGCTGTGAGTTACTACTGAATTTCAGTGATTTTCCACACCAGGGACATTGATGGGAAAAAGCTGTTTTAAAGAGAAAAATGTTGCATTGTATATAAAAAGAGAATCCCCCCTTATTTTGAACAAAGCACAAGGCTCATAGACAAAGCTCAAGGTTTTTTTCCTGATAAAAACACTTCACTGATTTTTTTTCTCAAAAAAAAAAATGCAAAAAAGGCACAAATCTTTTTTAAAAAATATTGAGTGGGGAGAAACTATTGGAATGTTTCATTCTTAGTTGTGACACCTCAGTATACCAAGTTTTAAACCCCTATGCTTGTTCATAGTTTGCTACCTGAAGATACTACCTCACTCTGCCTAATGGGAAGGTCAGCCCTAAGAGCAGTTACGCAATCTGAGCCTCAGAGATGTCAATATTGTGCAGTGCCTCCAGCCCACCAGCTCCATGTCTACTTAATTCTCAGAGAGAACCCTTCAGTCCACTCTATCTGCTTCTGAAGGCCAAAGATGGCTACTATTCTCCACAGGACCACATCTGATTGCAGGTATAATAAATCTCTTGCGATACGATTGTTTTCCTCTTCTGGAGAAGTTGAATGAAGCAGCAGAATAGGGCTTTGAAGTGTTCTCTCTGCTAAATCTCTGCTGTTCTAAAATATTTCAATATTTTAAATACATTAGCATTATTCTACAACAATTAAAAATATGTTGACCCACCATCTCCTTTTCATGCACACATCTCACCTTTCTCCCTGTATAATAAAAACTAGGAAAAAGACTTTAGTTTCACTATCAAGTCAGCATTTCTGCTTTAGTCCTAATTTTCTGCAGTTTTGTGACACACAGTATACCTCATTATCCACCCCCCCGGGGCAAAACGAAGGCCAGTTTTTTGGTTAATCAACCTGTGTGCAGCTTGGCAATTCTCATTACATGACTAAAGACATTTTGATGACAATACTATGTGTATGTGTATGCACATGCACACAGAGATACACATAGCAACTTTCCATTCTTATGCTTAAACGGGTAAAAAGACTCAGGCAAAAATGTATAAACAAATGGCAAATATATTTTCCCATCTATGAATGGCAGATGCTCAGCTGGTGCAGGCTGTATGGGAGCTGTCAAGGCAACTGTGCTATGCTTTCAAAGTGTCAGTATCGTTCCATTATTTTGGTAAAATATTGAAATCATTCCAGTGTGTATAGAATCCAATGAGTGCACATCATTCATGGGGAGGCTCAAAACTAGAATTTTTACCCATTTGGTAGTGGGGGCAGCACGATGTTGTCCAGGGACAACATCTGAAGAATTCCAGATATTCAAATAGCTAGAGAAAAGTGGCAAAGAGGGCTGCATATACCACTTAAGCCCCGTTGAAAAGAGTGGGATCTATAGAAGAATGTTGTACCCATTTAGTCCAATGTATTTTGTGAAGGAGAGCCAGATTGTGCCAGTATCTAAACTGGTTACCGAAAAGTTATGCTAGAGGGAACAATAAGTGCAAATTCTAACATTCAAATACAGTGCATGTGCAATGAATACAATGCAAAGAAATTGGGGGCGGGGGGTGTTCTACACAATCATAGATACCAAATCTATCATCTCTGACGTATCTGCCATAACTTTACTGGGAGATAATTCCCCATTTATAACATGAAGCCAATCACATTCCTAAAATTTTGAAAATCTTTTTTTTTAAGTGTTGCAACATAATTTGGAGCATGTAAAAAACAAGATTGGAGGCTGCTCTTTTATTTTTAAAACATACCGTCTAGAAATTGTATTGATTTACTCCCTTTAAAGCTCATGTCCCTAGCAATATCCATTTGTGTGTGATTGTGTGTGTGTTTATGCATCTCTCACTGATGGGATAATCCTAGGCACACACCACAGTTATTCTGGATTCATACAGTGCAATCTTTTACACAACACAGGACAAATGCTAGGGAATCACTGTATGAATGCAAGAATGCCTACCTCTCTTGGGAATGGCAACTTGAACAGAAGAAACAGTAGATATAGCTAAATTTGGAGCAACTGAAAGAAAGTATTTGAAAGGTTATGCACTGAAACAAACCAGGTTTTGAACACTCTTTTAAAAGAGTATTTAAAATGTACATTATGGGGTCTTTGTCAACATTTTTATTGCCCAAAGTATACTTTAAGTTGCTATGACAAAGCATCTCTCCAGAAGGAATAATGGCAAATAGATATACTTCTATTTAATCAAGGCACACAAGTGGTAAAGAACATTTACAAGCAATATGAAACAAGGCTTTGAGATACTTTACTGAAAAGCAATATAAAAGCTCTTCAACAAGCTATATTCTTGAGACCATTTGATAGCTAAGGAATGACCACAACGTGTAGTTATATTTTTAATATACTGTATTAAATAGTAATTTGGAAAGTAACACAATATTGCTCCTTCAATAACATTTAAGGAGGATGCTTGTTGGTCTAGTGCAACATTTTAAAAGTAGGATCTCTAGTACACTGCACTTAACTAATGGCACTTTCTGCTTAACTAATGGCACTTTCTGTTAAAAGAAGAATTGACAAGGATTTACCATTTATAGTTTCAATCTACAAAATGCTGGCTTGGCAAGAAACTGAAGTAAAATTACTTATGCTGACAGTCCATCTGATTGACTGACTGAATTTATGGCAGTCTTGAAGAATCTCTCCCTCTCTATTTCTCTCTCTCTCTCTCTCTCTCTCACACACACACACACACACACACACACACACACACACACTTTTTGGCAGACTATTACAGAACTAAAGGTGGGAGGATAAAAATGAATGATGATATATGTTTCTTTACATATTTATTTATATATTTCCAGCCCATCCTATGTATGAAATTCTCATCCACAAAGAGGTTTAAAATAAATTGAAACATTGTTATAGAATTTAACAAAATTTAATGTGTATACATGATGGGGGTGTGTGTGAAAGTGTACACAATATCTGGTACATCAGTGACACTTGGGTGTGAAATTCTTCATAGATTATGTGGACTTGTTCCATGGTATTCTCCTTGGTTTGTATTTGGACTATGCCACATCATAGAAAGTTTGAACTTCACAGCTTGCCTAAAGCATGATAGCCAATAAAATCAATCATGTGTTGCTACATTTGAACAATGAGCTCTAGAGGATCTGTTTCATGATGGGAAATAATTTCTACTTTGCACTGCTAACCATGTTAAGCAGTGGCATATTTTTTAAATTTAACCACCCAGAGTGGTAGAATATACCAGATGGGTGGGATATAAATCGAACAAATAAATAAATAAATAAAATAAATCTTTTATTTATTAATTAAAATTCAGGAACTGGACGTTCTGCTCCTTAATGTCCAGCAAGACTCAACTTTTTGTGTGTGTGTTACTGTGTATTCTGATGTTTCTTAAGAACTGAGCACAGTCAAGGAATATCAACATTGTTTTCATTACAATGTAGTAATAATGTTTTCAATAGAACCAAACTGTTTGGTAATTCATATGAGGGGACCTAGCTGAGCATATGTTTTAATATCCTGTCTGTTCCATGTACAAATACGGCCAGCTTGTTATTATTCTACATTATGACATTTACATGATGCTCAACCTCTTTTGTAATGACAATAAAGCTCAACTCTAGTTTCCTCAGTATTCACTGGGCGGTCATGTTTAAGATTCTTTGCCATTCATTTGTTCACCAATAAAATCTGCCTAAAATGCTGTGTGAGTCTTATTTCATCTGGTATCATCAGCTATCAGCTGCTTGTATGCAATAAATTAATGTGCTTTAGAATTCAGTACCAATCTTCCTGGAGAGCAATGGTACGACATACTTATGGTGAGCAAAACGTAGATCTGAATCTACCAGTAAATCTCTGGAATCTGCAATATACAAAGAAGGAATTCTGGTTCCCGCTGTTTATATATAGAAGCAGTGAACTTTGACCTGTCCTGCATCGGACTGCTTAAATATTGGAGAACCAGACATGGAATGTGTTCAGGGATTGTGAGCTCTTTCTAGTTGTAGTACTTTGTACAAATTCCTTTTGCACTAAGCTCTGGAGTTGATCTTGGAGTACTAGTACCCACAAAGGGGGTCCTGCAAGTATGCTTCTGCCTGTTTCTCTGTGCCTCTTCAAGGAACCTATAAAGGAACCTATGAAATATAACCTGGAACTCATGATTAAGATATTTCTAATGGTTAGTAATGTATGTATCTAGGGCAGTCTCAATTGCATCACTATGATCAAGGGCTAAGGCTGCAGCCTTTCCAGTCTTCCTCTTCAACAAATTGCTAATACATTTTGTTTCGTTTAGAAGCTATTTCCTGGATCCTCTTATGCTCATTTCCTCCTCCATCTGTATTCATCAGAGTTTAAAAGGAACATCCTGTGTATAAAGATAGCAAGCTGTAGACCCATACTGTTTGCTTTAAAAGTAGGAAAAATGAGAGGATTCCATGTCAAATTATGAACAGGTTTACATGATGCCGACTAGACCGGCCAGCTAATAGATTTGCACAAATGCTAACTCTGAAATCCTAGCATTTTAATACACACACTCATACTCATCTTGTTTTCCATTTTAAACCCACTCCACTTCTTTCAGAAATAATAATCATGCCATAGTCTGTCAATAAATTCTCTGTGTGAATGTCATTGGAATTTAGATGTGGAAGTAGTCCACTAGGGATTTCAGAGAGGAAGTCTGCTGTCAGTGGTGGAAGAAATGTAAAGCTTTAAGCATGCACACACACACACACACACACACACACACACACACAGAGAGAGAGAGAGAGAGAGAGAGAGAGAGAGAGAGAGAGAGAGAGAGAGAGAATATGGGAAACATCCTGCAATGTGACCTGACCTCCTGGAGGATGGGGAAAAAGTGATAGAAGCAGGGTGGGAAAGAGAATAAGACTTTTTTGCTGTTGTTGAAAATGCTGTATTGTTCAAAGAAATTCCCTATGAAGATGGTTTTCCATCCATCCATATTAGTCTGTATCACTGCAACCTCAGCTCTGAATACCAACTAAAATAAAATTCATTTCAATTAAGAAAACAAAGCAGAAAAGAGAGACATTAAGAAATGATTTGATTGAGACAAAGGGAATTGCTGGCACTCAGAAACTCTTAAAAGTCCAAAGTCAAAACTTAGTTATCATGCAAACCCCGATGTCTATACAATTCCAGTCTTCTCTAGGGACTCATATTCAGTTTAAGCTACAAAAGTGCTTATAACTCTGGTGAGGAAGATCTGTACATGTTATATAAAGCCTTTTCATGCAAGATTCATTTTTATGATAATAATTCTCAGTCGTTTGTTTTGAACAGTATACTTCTTTTTCTGTCCCAAGAGAGGATTTTTTTTTTTTTGGTCCTTTAAGCCATCATCTGAGACTCTCTGAAAGCAGTTATACTTTATAGATCTGTAAGAATTTTACAGAATCCTACCTTGATTTGGGTTAGAAACCCCAAGGGAAGATATATTCGGCCATATCCTATCAAACTTTGGAGGAGCTGCATATGTCAGGGAAAAATCAGGATTTGTTATTTGCATCTGGTGATCGATTTTTGTTTTGTTTTGTTTCTAAACAGATGTGTATGGAGAAAAACATAAAGCACAAACATCCATTAGTGGACTTTGTTTATGACAAACGTGAACAATACATCACTGTCACATTAAACAAGAACAAGCAATTGATGATTCCCAAAACACTGGACGGACATTTACATATTGTGTCTCCCTGTGTATCACATTTTCTCTTATCACTGAACAGTAATAATCTAATGTGTAAGGAGGAATGAACTCTGATTATCTGATTCTCCCCCATTCTATAGCTTCTACAGAGCAGAACTGTCTCCTTCTTCTCCAAAGAATACTGTTTGGGGAAAACAAATGGGTGCTTAAGATCACATGTGACTATTGTTCAGGATCACCTGCAGTTCATTTGTTATACACATGATATGATATTGTGAGATTCAGTTACATGAGTGAATATACTTAGCAAGACATGCATGCCGAAGGCCCCAAACTGAGGGAAAGTGACATTGATAACACTGAAAACATTGCTAGTCATTCTGTGATGTATGAGGAAGAAAATAATAATTACAAAAGCCTTTTAAAGACTTAACTTTTTACAATTTGATCTTGAATCTATCCATTTCTTTCAAATTTCCTGTCAACTCCTGAGATGACTTAGATTTGCACAATCATCTTTGTTAACATACGAAACACCCGTCTTGTTCAGATACATATTGCATAGGGGTGGGGCCCAGAAAAACCAAATTTAAAGGCACAGAGATCTGCCTTAATTGCACATTGGTCTCAGATGAATGTTATCACATCTGGTCTAAGGGGTGACTACATTGGCCACTTACCCTGTCATTTACATCCAGTTGAGTACTGATGAATCTGAATTAAAACCTGGTGACTACATGATGTAAACCTCAGTGTGTGGAAGCTCATTGTGGTATCATATTTTATGAGTGAGAAGCTGCCTCTTTTTTTGCCCCCAGGGCTGCTTTAAACTTATTCTGATTAATCTGACATAGTTTTTGTCTGCTTTCTGCCAGTGGGATTGCCTCATCTGAAGCAAAGAGGCCCTTGCAGAGACATCAGCTCTCCCTTCCTTCCTGTTTGATCTCAGCATTGGAAGAGACTTTGCTAGAGCACTTATGAGATCAATAGTGAGGTGGAAATGGCCAATCAGCACTTATTAGCACCCTATTAAAACAGCTCCTGTTGTTTGAGCTTTCTGCCTCTCCTGACTCCAGCCAATCTGGAGGGCCCAGGGAAACAGGATCTCCCTGAGGGTAAACCACAGTGGATTAAGCCATATTTCTCCCATTGTATGGTCACACACTAAATGCGCATTGCTTAGACATTGGGAAGCAGTGGGTTACTGGGTAATTTTGTGAGGCTGGGTGTAGCGTTCTCCAGCACCCTGGGGTACTGTATCCCTTGGGCTGTTGAAAAATAAAAATAAAAATAGTGTACATGTATTTAATTTTGCATTAGTTGTGTTTTAGCCATGCTGACATTTCCACAACAGGACACACTAACTTACTATTATATGTGCTTCTATACATACCTCTATGGTGGTTGGCAGAAATCTGTCCCCAAGTGAATGTCAGTGTGCACAGAATCTATCAGCATAAATATTTATGAATTTCAGTCCATTTCATCAGATTCAAGCATCAGAAACTGGCTGCATTCTCCAAATAAAATGTGTACGTATTTAAGGTGCTACCTCTTTGGCTGGGTGATAGTTCAGTTGCACTGTTCATGCAATGGAATGTTGTGTGAAGGGTTTGGTTTTTTTTCTTGCTTGTGCAAGAAGGTTTTGAATATATCCTTGTGTAAGTTGAAGTCCCAGGTACTTAAATGGTGATCTCTATTTGTGGAGTTACAAATAGGAGACCCTGCATTAGAATCCTAGTTGAGCTGTCCACGTGGGTGGTGCTGAACAGGATTTCAGTCTTCCGTTATTTTCATTGCAACCAACCTTGCACACCTCCTTGTCGTTATGTGCTTTCAAGGAGCAACTGATTTATAGTGACCATAAAAGGGCTTTCAAGATATGCCAGATATACTGAAGAATAAGTTTACATCACTGAGTGGAGATTCAAACTCAGGCTTCCTGAATCCCAGTCATAATTCTATCTATTAACTCACACTGGGCATCTCACACATCATGAAAATCACTGCTTCTTTGTTAATCCAGAATTTTAATATTTCTGTTCAGATGGTGCTCAAAATCCCACTGACTTTTTAAAAATTAAGTTGAAATCCCATTGCGTTGTTACACATGCAGAAGGCAAGCATAGTAACATTTCACTGCTACTAACTGACAATTAATTTGCTGCTGGGGTTCTTCATGGTATGCAAGCCTGCTGGCATGACACACACTACAGAATTATAGTGGAAACTTGTTAACTGCTAGCCAAGAAATAAAGGAAGTTACACTATCTTCCTTACACAAAGCAATAAAATTTCAGCATTAATATGTTAACTTTACTTAGTTGTGCTTTGTATCTGATATATATCACAGCAGATGTAATTTTTTTCTGACTCAGTGTCAGAGCTTTATTTCCTGAGATTCTGCATGCTGTATTACCTGCAAAAACATATGGCTGATGCAAATACACCTATTGGAAATCAATTGAGAAATTTTAGAGATACATTGAAGTAACTTTTAATGCATTGTTAGCAACTACATAAGGATTTTAAACATATCTTAACCTAGACTTTGGAAGGAAGCAGTCTTAATGGGAGTTTTTCCCCCCTAAGCCAAACTGTCATTTCTTTTGAGATGGAAAATTCAACTCTTTATTCCCTGTCTGCCACAGTCACACTGAAATCAACCAATGTTCAGCACTACATTTTTTTAAAGACTGTGCTGTAGATCTTAATAAAATCTACAGCATCATAGGTAGTTTGGCCCTTATATTTTACAAAGATTCTGTAGAGTCTATTCATGGTGAACAATACTGATTTTCTTTGTATTTACAAATCACGGTCATGGAAGAATATCTACTCACCCAAGAAGACATAATGTCATATTCAGGACCACAAGCTATGTGGTTTGAATAGAAAGCTGGTTAGTTAAAGATGGCCCAGTTTTGCTCACTATAAGCAGATTTTGTAAGTGGGGCCTTTATTTTTCAAAGCTGTTTTGATTCTGGTACATTAGTATAATAAATTGTAAACAAAAATATTGAAGATTGCCTTTGATTCTAACAATGAAATAGCTTTTGCTGTTAGTCTGTAACTTGCCCTTCACTTTTTTCAGTATCTCAAAACAAAACCTTCACCTCCACAACAAAGCAAGTGAGGCTGTGGTAAGAGGCATCATAATTGTATTTGCATTTAATGGGTTGACTAATAAAGACAGACTATCAGGGATGGACCCACTGTTATGCAAAGTGAGGTAGCTACTTCAGGAGGTAGATTATATGTTTTTTTGCTTTTGCTTCATTTTATTTTTTTCCTGCTAGGAAGAGGGAGATGTGTTTTTGAGGTTTCCTGTTTCAAGTGACCGCCTGTGGGTACTATCTATTTTGACCTTGGGAGTGTGTGTTTATGGGGGGGTCCCATTTGCTGCTCTGCCTCAGGCAGCAAAATGTCTTTGTCAATCTTTCTGCCACTGGGTCCACTAGAACAGTGGTCCCCAACCTTGGGCCTCCAGATGTTCTTGGACTACAACTCCCAGAAGTCTTCACCACCACCTCTGCTGGCCAGGATTTCTGGGAGTTGAAGTCCAAGAACATCCGGAGACCCAAGGTAGGGGACCACTGCTGTAGAAAATTAAAAATGATGTGGTCAGTTATTTCAGCAGTCTGTGTTCACTCAGAAGTATACCAACTAAGTCTAATGGAATTTGCTCACCATAAAGCAAAAATAGGATATGTTGCCTTCTGGGTATGGCAATAAAATTCTAGATAGCTGCCTGGATAACTCAGTGGTTTAGGTATCTTGCTGTGGAGCCAGAGGTTGGCAGTTCGATTCCCCAGGGTGCTTCCTAGAAGAGTCAGTATGCGTGGCCTTGGGCGACAGTATCCAGGGTGCCCTCAGAGGAAGGTTATGATAAAACACTTCTGAGTATTTTCTACCTAGAGAACACTGAGAAGGGTTGTCATAAGTCAGAATTTACTTCACAGCACATCATCATCATCAATTTGTAGTCAGAAAATGCAACATTTTCCCTGACTGCTAGAAAGTATGGTTAGAAGTGCAGCCACTGTGGGCTTACTTTTGAAGTGATATGCACAGAAGTTGCAATATTAGCTACATTTGACATTTAAGTTGTCGATCACATTTTCCCTTGTACTTTCTACAAATACCCATCACACTGAACAAAGACTTCTTTTCCTTTTTCCCTTTTTTGTTCCCAGTACATGGCCTGATGAATGAGAGGATTAAAGCTCTGCTTCCACTGAGCTCAGCCTTGAGTTCTTTCAAAGCCCAGTGACACCACCGTTTCAATTATTAGATTTTTCTCTAAAAAGATGTTCCCTCATTTGAGACACTAAGCTTTTTGTATTCTGCCCATTCTTGGCAGGATACCCTAGGAACATCACCCAGCCTTTGCACATTTGTCATTTTATTTCATGCCTAAATTGTGGGATAAAAAACTTCTGAGTCACCTAGAGATTCTTCTGGAGGCTGCGTGTGAAGCCTTTAGGTAACTGGAAAAGATGAGTCATTCTCACCAGGCTTCAATCAGAATCCTTTAATAGCCAGGGCATATAATAGCCACTCATTCATTTAGTGCAATTTGTTAAGAACTCTCCTTTTCTGAGCAGCAGGAAAATAACATAATAGTTCTGAGATCGCTGCAGGGGGATAGGTAAGGAGAAAGACACAGAATTCAAAAATGCAGCCTGTGAACTCAAAAATCTCTTTTTAAAAAAACTGAGAGTGAGAGAACCATTAAAAAGTATAGGAATAGTTTATATAAGTGGTCTGGGATTATACATATTTGTGAAAGGTTCATGCTTTTAAAATTTATGATATT